TTCCTTCCCTCACAGTAGAATGGCATTTAAATGCCTCTTAAGTCTACCTAGCTACCTAAGCTCTATCTAGTTGATCCCTTATTTTTGGATTTATGTAAGTTATAGGCAATTCCATTGTATTGGGATGCCTCTAAGAGCCCAGTGTTGATTTTTCACAACTAGTATTTTTCCTCACAATCCACTTCCTTCAAAATTTTATGTCTTTAAATAACATTGGCAAACACAAGGGTAACAGTAAGGGTGGCTATGAACATGCTAAACTCCTGGGTCCTCTACTAGGCTAAAGGAAGTACAGATAATCACAAGTTTGAAGAAAATGTTTCAACTGTTGTATTATGTCAAGGTAAACACCAGAACACAGACTAAAATGATACTGTTACTAACTTAAAAATCAATGAGATATAAGCACAAATTGAGTAAAAAGTGGGCTAGTTTTTCTGATGAATATACTAAAGAAGCCTACCCCATGCACAATAAGGAACATGGGCATGCAGAGCTGTGAGGACGCACCGTCAGTTCACCAGCGCTTACTTCTCAACAGGCAGCTGGTCTCTACTCAAGGTCCCGGACACCACACAGATATCCCCCTGGGTAAGGCACTGAGCACCCAGAAGTGTGTATCCTCTATGTAAGTTTACAGCTTTTTTTATCCTTTAACAATATAACTGTTATGGTTACTATATTCTCTACAGTAATTAAGTTTTCTGCATTTCCTAAGCACAATAAAGGCAAAATGAACCTAAAATAAACTCGAATTTAACCTAAAATATAAGAACACACTGAACATAAATTTCCCCCCTAGCAATGGTAAATGTAAGCCTAAAATAATACTATATGTCCTAAGAACTAAACAGTTAAAGTATTTTTTTTAAGCTTTTATTTATTTTTATTTGAGAAATAAGAGTTACAGACAGTGAGAGGGAGAGACAGAGAGAAAGGTCTTCCTTCCCTCGGCTCACTCCACAAATGGCCAATCCGAAGCCAGGAGCCAGGTGCCTCTCCCAGTCTCCCATGTGGATGCAGGGGCCCAAGGACTTCAGCCATCTTCTACTGCTTTTCTAGGCCATAGTAGAGAGCTGGATGGGAAGAGCAGCAGGCAGGACTAGAACTGGTGCCCATATAGGATGCCGGCGCCACAGGCAGAAGATTAACCTAGTGCACCATGGTGCCTGCCCCTAAAGTATTTTTCATAATCTAAAGAAACCAAAAATTGGGAGATCATATGCATAAATGCTACATTTTTACTAAAATTGCTAAATATAGTTTCTCCCCTTATATATAGCAGTGCAATAATTATTATCTATGTACTTTAAATTTACATATAATTCATAGAATCTGTTGACCTACTTCAAAACATTCAATAGTTAAATTTAACTGAACTCAAATTTAAATTAAATTTAGTTACCTATAGCTCAACCCAAAAACAGAAATTCTGGGGAAAAAAAAAGGCAACATGCCAAACAGGAGAAATAATGTAAGAATTTTAATGCTAAGGGAAACCATCTGGTTAGTCTGAAAATCTGCTTTTGTGTGTAAAATTTTTTCAACAATCATCAATTAATTAATCTCTTAAGTACTACAGGTTTAGAATTACAATGCTGGTGCCAGCTAGCTCCCTGTAGGAAGCTTTCCTCCTCCCCTTGCAGCAGCTTCCTCTCTCTCCTGGGAGGCCCTTCAACTGTACTTGGGATACAAGTGATAATTTCCACTTTATATTCTGTGTAATTTGTGTCCTTTATCCTCCCCCACTAGATCATAAACTCTTGGAGGGTAAGATCAGTGTTTAATTCAGTTTTCTATGCCTCACAGTATCCATCAGAGCTCCGTGTACAAAAGCTCACACAATTCGGGACATGCTCAAGCTGACTTACCTCAAACGGTAGAGTTAGAAACATACCAGGGGATTCCAATTCAATCCCATCGAGGTGGCATGTACCAATGCCATCTCACTAGTCCCAGTGATCAATTTCTGTTCACAATTGCTCGTAATGATAGGACTAAGAACCAAAGGGATCACATAAACAAGAATAGTGTCTGCAAATACTAGCTGATAGAATAAAAAAGAGAGAGAATGATCCAACATGGGAAGTGAGATACACAGCAGACCCATAGAATGGCAGATGTCCTAACAGCACTCTGGCCTCAGAATCAGCCCTTAAGGCATGCGGATCCGGCTGAAATGCCCATGAGAGTATTTCAGGCATGGAAAGCCAAGACACTCTGGGGGGAAAAAAAACCTAAATGAAAGATCTCCACGAGTGAGATCCCAGTGGAAAGAATGGGTCATCAAAGAAGGAGGTACCTTTCTCTGAAGGGAGCAGAGAACTTCCACTTTGACCATGGCCTTGTCTAAATATGATCAGAGTCAGTGAACTCAGGGGGCTTCCATAGCCTTGGCAACTCATGACAAGAGCCTAGGGTGATTACTGAGGCCATAAACAAGAGTGTCAATTTGTTAAGTTAACAACAGGAGTCACTGTGCACTTACTCCTCATGTAGGATCTTTGTCCTTAGTGTGCTGTACATTGAGATTTAATGCTATAACTAGTACTCAAACAGTATTTTTCACTTTATGTTTCTGTGTGGGAGCAAACTGTTTAAATCTTTACTTAATGTATGCTAAACTGATCTTCTGTATATAAAGAGAATCGAAAATGAATCTTGATGTGAATGGAAGGGGAGAGGGAGTGGATAAGGGGAGGGTTGCGGGTTGGAGAGACGTTATGCGGTGGAAGCCATTGTAATCCATATTCTGTACTTTGGAAATTTATATTCATTAAATAAAAGTTAAAAAAAAACACTCAAAAATATTCTCTTCTGAATTTACATTTTCAGGTATTTTTCCAAAATGCTGTAGTATGTTATTTTCTATTTTTCTCCCTATTCCTCAGCAGTTTCTTTCTTGCCACTTTTGCTAACTGCTCTTATCAATGCTCCCTACAAAACTGGTTCATCTATTCATTTATTTATTTACTCAAATAATCCAGAAAGTCCTTGTCAAGTATGTAGTATGTCAGGAGTTGAGGTTAAGCCACTGAACAAGCCCTTTAGGAAGCCAAATGGGAAAGATGCACAAGTACTTAAGTAGTTATAAAACAATGTGATAGATGCTGTAATAAATGTGAATACATGATAATACACCAAAACCAAAAAGACATCTCTGAATTTCTATCTTCAGTTTATCATTTTCTCTGTATTATTTTTTTCCTTAGGTCATCCATCCATCTCTGTTTTTGGCTATTAAACACATAAATATATGTGCATGACACAAAATATAAAAGCTGCAGAAGAAGATTTAAGTGAAAAGCAAGTCTTCCTTCCATCCTGTCCTGAGACACTCAGTTTATCCTCCCAAAGACAGCTCGGTCAGTGTCTCATCCCAGAGACAGTCAATGTATTCACAAACACTCATATGTGTACACACACACACACACACACACACACACTGTTACTGTCATTTCACACAATGGTAGCATGCTTTAGACACTGCACGGTGCTTTTTCCCAACTCATATGGAAGTTCCTCATTCTTTTTAATGGATTGCACTGTATGGATATAACATTATTTAATGAATCTTCTTACTAAATGTCCATTTAAGGTGTTACAATGCTGCAGTTACCATGTGTTATATCTGTATATCTGGAGGATAAATTCCTGGAAGGGAAATGGCTGAGTCCTAGAATGCACACATTGTTCATCTCCATAGATCTTGACACAGAGGTTTTATTAATTTCATTCCATCTCCATAACTTAAATTATCACCTTTATGGGAACAGTTCCCAAATTTGCATTCACAGTTCTCCTCCTCTTAATTATTATCTGGTACTTCCTTAGAACCTTAGGGCAAAATCTTTTCAAAACCAAATTTACAATTTTACCCTTAACATATTATACCTAACATCACTACATTTGTGAATTTTTCCTGATTCCAAACAAAAACCATGTTTGAGTCTTTCCTCTTTGTTTTAACCACATTCAGTTAACTAGCTGTTTAGATGCACCCATCTCACACTTCCACAACACCCACCCTCTTCCTGTTTCCTCAGATACCAGCTTTAAGCATCCAGTTCCACACACCTGGGTTAGTATCACCTAATGATTATGATGATGATGATGATGATAATAATAATAATAATAATAGACAATTGAGGACACAAATTCTCCTTGCACTATGCTCAACCACCACCTGAAATACCTTCTCAAGTCAGTAACCCTGTTGAAATCTCACGGAACCCACCCTAAGGCTAGACCATGGCTAAAGTACTTTCTTTTATCAATTTATTAGCATTTAGGTCCTCTGCAAACTCACAGTGAGGATAATGTCATTACACATTTTGATAAAACCTAGATACTCAAAATATGTTCATCAAATGAATGAATGAATGAAGTTTTGCAATGAACTAATTCCTACATATCAGATTCTTTAAGAGAATAGTCTTAAGTTTGTAAATTACAGTTTTTCTCTCACACTGACTTTGATAAAACAAAAAGAAAAAGGATAAGTAACAAAGAAATAAGCAAAATGTACTACCAACATGATTAAATTTCTCTTCAAAATAACAAGATCCCTAAAATGTTGTTCTAGTTACTCTAACGATATGCAGGAGAAAAGAAAAATTTGCCACAATGTGCCTATGGACTATTATTTATTTGACTTTAAAAAAGGTAAAATAACTTTTTGAAAGTTTCACTGAAAGCACCCATAAGCAAGAGCATAGTAAATATTATATTCTTAAGTAGCATGATACTAAAAATCATATTTGTGGCAAAACTGTTTATATTTAAGAAATATAGAAAAGTATGATTGCGCTTCCCAAATATATAAAAGCACTTATATAAAAACATCATTGCAGTTCATTAGGAGTTACTCAGCAACAGAAAGAACACCACAAATCCCTATCAAGAGGCAGAGAACAGCTATACTATAATTTATACTTTAAACCATGTTTTAAAAATAATGAAAGTAACACCATGCAAATGCCAATTAGTTCTTGACTCACCTCTCCACCATTAACATATTCCATCACAAAACACAAACGGTCTTTTGTCTGGAAGGAATATTTCAAGGACTTGAAATGAAAAAGAAACAAATGTGGTATTATAATCCTACATTCTAATATTATCAAAAACAAAACACTTAGAAATAATAAGCATGACTGACAAGACGAATTGTTACTACTCCTTAAGAGTTTATAAGTAACAGTTTACAAGAAACGTAAAACAAATTCAGTAATAGGCATTATTGGGGAAAAAATTCAAATTCAAATTTTAATTAAACAGCGAGTTCTTCTCAGTCTATTGTGTCATCTGTTTGAAATTGTATTGGACCTCAAATGTTCATCCATGCAACTCAAGGTGCACCCTAAAAATTACTCTACTGGAAGTTTCTTAGAAATGTAATTGTTCTACTATAGTTTCAATGTCAGTTTTTGGGTACTAGTTGTATTAGATACCCAACCAGGCAGAGTCTAACTTTACAGGCTGCAAAAAGATTATTACACAAAAAGATCTTATTACACTGGACAATGTATCCAGTGATACCTTTGAAAATATCAATTCACAGAACCCTAAAGCATTAAAAGTAACCCTCTTTGAAAGTATAGTTATAGTAGGGGCTGGCGCCATGGCTCACTTGGTTAATCCTCCAACTGCGGCGCCAGCATCCCATATGGGCGCCGGGTTCTAGTCCCGGTTGCTCCTCTTCCAGTCCAGCTCTCTGCTGTGGCTGGGGAGGGCAGTGGAGGATGGCCTAAGTAGTTGAGTAACTGCACCCGCACAGTTGAGTAACTGCACCCGCACAGGAGACCAGGAGGAAGCACCTGGCTCCCGGCTTCGGATCGGCGCAGCGCCAGCTGTAGCGGCCATTTGCAGGGTGAATCAATGGAATGAAGACCTTTCTCTCCCTCTCCCTCCCTCCCTCCCTCTCTCTCTCTCTCTCTCTTACTGTCTATAACTCTACCCATCAAATAATAAAAATAAAGTAAAATTAAAAAAAGTATAGTTATGTTTATAATCTTACTGTGCTTCCACAGAACCAGGAAAATACAGAAACTTTGCAAACTACCCCTCTACCTTAAAGAATCTAAGAACAGGATATAAAACTCATGTTATATCACAATAACCAAGTTAAATAAATGTATATAAACCACAGTTTATTCTATCAAGTGAAGAAAATACATTTTTTCCTAGCATCAATATATTCAGCATTCCTGCATCTGTAAAGTACTCTATCCTTAAGCAGTCCCGTTTTGTGAAATGGATTCATTAAAGATTTCTGCCTTTTATATCTGAAGACAATGCTGCTTCATAACCTAAGAATCTATCAGAAGCCAATAAACAAAACAAAATCATTACATTTAAAATTTAGAAACTTTTCCAAGTCTACTATTTTTTTCAGGCCTCCTTAAATTGCCACAAGTAACCTGCTATTTAAAATTATGCTTTTCATATTTTAGCTGCTATAATAAAATTCTCTAAAATTTCCATGTTTTGATTGTAGTATCTCTCTTCTAGTCACTTACTGTTAAAAAGGGATGTCTAGTGTTCTTTAATACTCTGCTTTCCGTTAAAGTGTGTGCCACTTCATCCTACAAAAGAAAAGGCAAACCTTTAAAATATGTTCTCAGCACCAATAATACACAAATTTCACTTTCTCCACAATTACATGAGGCTATGCCTAGAGACACACAGGGATTTAAAAATGACAGTGGCATGCTTCCTTTACTGCTCAGATTTCCCTCCACCAATAATAAATAAATCACATTAATAATTTAATTCAGATGATAGTAAGTTATAAACTCACTCATACTGGATCAAAAGTATATCAAGAGTGACAGAATGACACAAAGACCAATAAAAAAATTATCAGAGGCACGAAAATTAAATGGGGGGGGGGCAGTGCTGTAGTATAATAGGTAAAGCCTTCGCCTGCTGTGCCGGCATCCCATATGGGAACTAGTTTGAGTTCCAGCTGCTCCTCTTCAGATCTAGCTCCCTGCTATGGCCTAGGAAAGCAGTAGATGATGGCCCAAGTCCTTGGGCCCCTGAACCCACTTGCGAGACCTGGAAGAAGCACCTGGTTTCGGATCATCACAGCTTTGGCCACCGCAGCCAATTGGGGAGTGAACCAGCAGATGGAAGACCTCTCTCTCTGCCTCTCCTCCTCTCTCTGTGTAACTGTGACTTTCAAGTAAATAAATAGATCTTTTATATATATATGTGTGTGTAATAAATCTTATATATGTGTATATGTATACACATATATATACATACATATACATATATATATATATAAACAGAATGCTTTTCATCTCAAAGATTATCAGCTTAACAACAAGGTAATTAGCATTTCCACATGTTTAATAAATTTTATTAAGGGGGCTATATTCCAATTAAGGTCATAGAATCCACAACTCCCTACTTAGAAATCAGTTACTGAAAAGCAGAATATAAAACAAACATAAAATTTAATTTTAACACACATCTTGGGAACAGAAAACTGCAGAATTTATGAAAGTATATTTTTGACAAACCTATCTTTTTTTAAATTTTTTTGAAAAACAGAGTTACAGAGAAAGGTAGAGACAGAGAGAACTTTCACCCACTGGTTCACTCCCCAGATGGCTGCAATGGCCAGAGCTGCGCTGATCCAAAGCCAGGAGCCAGGAGCTTCTTCCACGTCTCCTATGTGGGTGCAGGGTCCCAAGGACTTGGGCCATCTTCTATTGCTTTCCCAGGCCATAGCAGAGAGCTGGATCGGAAGAGGAACAGCCAGGACCACAATCGGCACCCATATGGGATGCCAATGCTTCAGGCCAGAGTTTAACCCACTGTGCTGGCCCCAAACCTATCTTTTAAACAATGTTTTATTCATTTGAAAGACGAGAGAGAGAGAGAGAGAGAGAAAGAGAGAGAGAGAGAGGGAGACAGAGAGACAGAGACACTAAGTTTCTTCTACCTTCTAGTTTACTTTCTAAATGTCTGAAACAGCTAGGGCTGGGCCAGGCCAAAGTCAGGAGCCTGGAACTCAATCCAGGTCTCCCAGATCAGGGGCAGTAGCCCAAATATTTGCACCATTGCTTGCTGCATCCCCCAAAGTGTACATCAGCAGGAAGCTGGAATCACAAGTAGAGCTGGAACTCGAGCCTGGGCTCTCTCATATGGGATAGTGGAGGCCCAAGGCTGTCTCCAGTATATTTCTCTGCTTGCAGTTTTAAAAATGTACTCTTTTTAAATAAATACTTTTAGTCTAAGTAACAATTTTAAAATGTGGGTATATTTCAAACTGAAAATACATTAAAGAATGTATTTCCCTACTTTTTACATAAATTTCACCTGGACATCAAAAGTGAACTAGAAAAGATTTTCTTCAACATATGGAGAAACAGAAAAAATTTTTTATATTTCCAAAGTAATACTATAGTAAAGAAGAGAGATAACTGCTGAAACACACCATCTTCATCCATTACTTCTTTCAAGATCCTAAACAAAGCCCTAATTAGATCAATTTCTTAACACAACTGGCAAAGCAAAAAACTGAGAAAGATGTAGAGAGCACAACATCAAGATACAATGAGGCCGGCGCTGTGGCATGGTGGGTAGAACTGCTGCCTGAGGTACTGGCATCCCACATGGGTGCTGTTTTGAGTCCCAGCTGCTCCACTTCCGATTCAGCTCTCTGCTATGGCCTGGGAAAGCAGCAGCAGATGGCCCAAGTGCTTGGGCCCCTGCATCCATGTGTAAGACCCAGAGGAAGCTCCAGGCTCCTGGCTTTGGATTGGCCCACCTCAGGCTACTTGTGGCCATTTGGGGAGGGAACCAGAGGATGAAAGACCTCTCTCTTTCTTCCTGTCTCTCTAACTCTGCCTTTCAAATAAATAAATAAATCTTAAAAAACAAAATCAGGACACCATCTGACGTGTAGCATTTGTATAGAAACATCTCACCTTAATAGTTAGACCTGGAAGACAAATGTGAAACAGACCAAGGAAAGATCATAAAGCCTTTCCAGCAATGTGAGATCAAGTATTTTTTTTTTTAAAGATTGATTTTATTTATTTGAAAGACAGAGTTACAGAGAGAGAAACAGATAAAGAGATCTTCCATCCGCTGGATCACTCCCTAGATGGCTGCAACAGCCAGAGCTGAAGCCAGGAGCCAGGAACCAGGTGCCTCTTCCGGGTCTGCCTCATGGGTGCAGGGATTCAAGGACATGGGCCACCTTCTACAGCTTTCCCAGGCCATAGCTCAGAACTGGATTGGAAGAGGAGCAGCCGGACCAGAACTGGCACCCATATGGGATGCTGGCGCTTCAGGCCAGGGCTTTAACCTGCTATGCCACAGCTTCAGCCCCAAGATCAAGTATTTTTGAACAAAAAGCAAAGTGTATTCATTTATTATATTTATTACTTGAGAGAGAGACACACACAAAGAAAGAAATCTTTCAACTGCTGGCTCCCCTAATGGCCTCATTGGCTAGATCTGAGCAAGGCTGCAACCAGGAGCCCGGAACTCCACTCAGGTCTTCCTCGTGGGTGTCAGGGGCCCAAATGCTAGCGCCATCCTCCACTGCTCTCCCAAGCCCATCAGCAGGAAGCTGGATGGGAAGTAGAGCAGCTGAGACTTGGACCAGATTTCTGTTAAGGGATGATGGCCTTGCAAGCAGTGGCTTAGGCTGCTATACCACAACACCAGCCTCAACAACATAATATTTAATACCAATGAAATCAATAGTTTTAAATCAATGGGACCACATCAGCCATATTATTAATCTTATAGGAACCAAGCCTAGCTGCTCAATTTGAAAGCCCTCCTAAATCAATTAGAATGATAGAAAATAATTTAAAGAAATCAGAAGCAGAAATGACACTTGATCTTTCAGGTTCTAAAATTCATAAAGCCTAGCAAAATGGTGAGCCCATAACAGATAGTTAATACATGTGTGTTGAACTGATTTGTTTATCATAGGGATGAATTCCCTGATGCCTTCAAAAAATGTGTTCTGGATATGCATCTACACAGTGAAGACACAGCACTGAACAAAACAGAAGTCCCTGCTCTTATGGAGCACAACTTTCAGTGTTAACAGAAAAAACAGAGCAAGGAGGGGACACTGCGTCCATGAACATCACACAGGGAACATGAAATACAAAGCTACACATCACACAGGAAATGTGAAATACAAAGCTATAAACAGCAATTGGCTGTCTGTGATATATAACACCGAATCCACCCAATAAAAAAAAATCCCTTGCATCCATTTAATAAATGCTTAGGATGGTGCAAGTCTTACAAACTGTTTTGATAAAAAAAAATAGGCTTCCTTCACTCAGAGTTCACAGGCTAGTGAAGACAAATAAATATGCAAATTAATAATTATTAATTCTTGTAAGTGATATTAAGGAAAAAAAGAGGTTACACACTATCGCAGGTGGAGCAGTGAAGGAAAACCAGTGCTTCTGGAGAAGTGGAAGGAGGGTAATGTGACAGTGTGGGATGTAGGGGGAAAGGGAAGAACACAATTTCATTTAAGTTTTAAAAAGTTTACTCATACTTCTCTGGGGTCAGGAAAGAAAAAAACAGGTGGTATCAATTTAGCAACTATCAAATTTCTCCAAGAGAGATAAGAGGATGGCTTGGATTACTATGATGGGGGAAGGAACAGGTTAAAGAAGGGAATAGTTTTGAGATATTTCTGAGATACAAAATTAATAGTAAACACCCTTTAAAAAAAAAGCTACACATGCTTCCAATATCAGAGTGGATTAAAAGATACATGTCTTTATAGGCAGCAAGAAAGAGATACCATTTATACTTCAGCATGTTGAGGGATTTGAGTCAGTAACTTAGGGAGAGACTGAAGAAAGCTAAGTACAAAGCACCTGTGGAAAAGCAAAGACCTCCCAAGGCTTTAGAAAGTATTTCTGTGGGCACTTCATACTATTTTCTTAAAAGAGGCCCATCATATAGAATAGTTATTTTTCTAAGTCACTTGGCTAAGTTTCATGAGAAAAACTCACTAAATTCTGTAATCTGCCTAATACTATCAAACAAGCCAAGTAAACATTTATGGATATAAAAGCTAAAACTGTATTTCTTTGTTATAAGAATGGAACTGGAATACCATGTACAGATCTCTCAAATATTAAAATGTATTTTCTACCATATTTTACATCTGATCAGATTACAATTTTTCCCATTAATGCAAACTTCACGGTACTGTATTACACATACTAATTAGCTTTGCTATGAAGGTATGCACAAGCTAAAAAGTAAACACAGATGCCAATAATTTTTAATTGCAGCTAAAAGCAACATGTCAAAACAAAAAGTTAAAAATAACAGTGATAAAATTTAGTGGCTTAAACAATGTGATGTTTTTTAAAAAATCCATTTGTTGATCATAATTATAAAAGAAGAGCTTTAAAAATGCTTGAGTGGATGTTACAGATTATAGAACTTGGCTGTCCAAACTCATACAGATATTTGAATGGTGAAGTCTCACAACAGCTAAAGGGTTAAGTCTAGAGCTTGCTGGACTAGGGGAAGACAGGATCTAATGATGGTGGCTAGGAGGTGGGCCCAGTAG